GCACTGGATCTGGAGACAGGAAGAGCTGGATTCAAATCTAGCCTCAGACACTTACTAGCTGTGACCTTGAACATATCACTTAACTTCTGTTTGCCTCAGTTTCCTTATCTGTAAAATGAGGACAACAGCACCTACCTCCCAGGATTGTTGTGAGGATCAAAGAAGATATTTGTAACGTACTTAGCACAGTGTCTAACACATAGTAGGCACTTTATAAATGCTATTTGTGATGAGAAAATTCCTTAAATTTTAAGGTCTCACCTTCACCTCCCAACACTATCACACTGGACCTTTTTATTCCTATAATAAAAACTATTTTGAGAGGATTTTCCCAGAATGTCAGAATTGAAAGGGATTGGGGCAGCTAGGTGGTGCAGTGGATAAAGTACCAGCCCTGAAGTTAGGAGGACCTGAGTTCAAATCTGGCCTCAGACCAAACACTTAACACTTACTAGCTGTGTGACCCTGGGCAAGTCACTTAACCCCAATTGCCTAAAAAAAAAAAAGAACTGAAAGGGATCTTTGAGATCATGAGGCCAGCCTTCTAATTTTACAGATAATAAAACCAAGGTTAGGCGACCTGCCTCAGCTAAGTGGCAGAGCCAGAATTCCAGGTGTTCATGTTCTGACTCTCAGGGTGAGTGTTCTTTCCATCATTTCACACTGCCTCCTTCTCTCAAAATCAGATCGTGGCTCTCCCTAGGCGGTGCTTCACCTCCTCCCCCACAAATGAATCCATGTGCTCAGAGGAATGATTTATATCATACAGCCTGTCACCTGCTGCTTTGACAGCAGCCATCAAAGTAGGGAGATGTGGGAGAAGCAGAGGGAAATTGCACAAAAGAAATTCGTTTTTTGACAGATTTCATTGTACTTAACATTCTGGCACTAAGTGAGAGCGCTAATGCCATCACTGCCTCTCTTCTCCTTCTGGAAGTGGGTTTGGGAAAGAGAGGAGGGTGGTACTTGGGGGGAGACCAGAAGAGGTTAAGAAGTTTAACTTAGGAGTTCAGAAATACAGACAAATCATTATTCCTGATAACAATTCTGAAATGTTATGGGCCTTCCTGAAAGGGTGGTGCAGCTCTTTAAGGCTGCTCCATTTGTGCCCATCCCATACCCCCTTAATCTGTATAATTTCCACTTAGGACAAGTCATACAACCAATATCACAGGAGTCTGCAGGCTAGTGCCATAGTCTTAGTGATTGAGCACTATACATAAACTGAGTCAGGGTTCAATTATGGCTCTCACGCTTACGGTGAGACCTTGGGGAAGTCACTTAGCCTCTCTAGGACTCAGTTCCCTACCTTTAAAAGGGAAATAATAAAAGCAGCTACCTTCCTGGGTTGTTGTGAGGATCAAATGAGATAATATTTGTAAAGCGCCTAGTAGGCACTACATAAATACTATATTGTTATTATTATTATTACCTGTAAAATGAAGGGGTTGAACTCAATGACCTAAGGGTCTTTACAGCTCTAAATTTATAATCCTATGATTGCGCAGAGAGGATTCGGATGGATTTGAACAAATCTTCTGATGCAAATGTACTACGTGATAGTTGACGGTAACCTAAGCCTTCTCTTCTTTCTCCGTACTCTATCATGGTCATCTCATTACCACCCATGGATTCAATTATTATCTCTATGTAAATGACTCCAAAATGTACATATCCAGCCCTCCCCAATCTCCAGTTCCACTTCTCCAAATGCCAGCCAGGCATCTCTACCTAGAGATTCCATAGCCATTCTCCAGATTCAACATGTGCAAAATGAAAGTCATTACAAGCACCACCATTCTTTCAGTCACCTAGGTTTGTGATCTCAGAGTCATCCTGAACTCTTTTTGCTGTTCAGTGCCATCCAACTTTTCAAGGTCCCATTTGGGGTTTTCTTGGCAAAGATACTGAAGTAGTTTGCCATCTTCTTCTCCAGCTCATTTTACAGATGAGGAAACTAAGGCAAACAGGATTACATGACTTCCCCAGGATCACACAGCTAATAAGTGTCTGAAGCTGGATTTGAACTCAAGAAGATGAGTCTTCCTGATTCCCCAATGCTCCATCCACAGAGCCACTTAGCTCCTTAATACTTTATTTTTACTTAACTTCCACACCCAATCAGTTGTCCACTGTACCTCAACGCTACCTTTTACATCCAACCCCTTCACTCCATTCACACAGTCATGACCTAATTCAGGCCCTCATCTCCTCTTGTCTAAACACTTACAAAAGCCTCCTAATTAATCTTTATGCCTATAATTTTCCCCCTCTCCAATCCATCTTCCACACGGCTGCTAAACTGACATATCCAAAGCATAAGTCTGACCACATCATTCGTCTTGCACAAGAAGCTCAATTGTACCTCTAGGACATAATACAGAACTCTGTAAGCTCCCTAAGGGCAGGGGTGAGCTCACTTGTGTGTATCTACATATGCATATAAGTATGTATATGTTATATATATTTCCTACTATAACTAGGTTTGCATGCTAGTGATGACAATATGATATTGACCTTAAATTTTAAGGTCCCCCCATCAACCTCCCAATACTATCACACCAGATCTTTTTGTTCCTATAATAACAAAACTATTTTGAGAGGATTTTTCCAGAATGTTAGAATTAAAATGGATCTCATGAGCCCAACCCTCTAAAAATATATACACACATACATATACATATTGTACGTGTGTGTGTATACACACATATCACTGTACTTGGCACATATTAAGCATTTAATAAATGCTCACTAATTGATTTGGTAGTGTGGCTTTAAATGAAGATAATTTTCAACAAGCTTCTGGAGACTTACATAAGGTGTTTTGAATCTGCACATATATTATGCAACCCTAGAGGAACTCGCCATGTAATATTGAGGGACGTCATGAAAAAAGATATAGCCTTTGGCAGGGGAAGTGGGGGGGAAGCCAGGTAGGACTTTTTTCTTTTTGCCATGATTGTCCCAATTCTGACAAGCCAAATCTGAACAGGACTTTGGAATCCAAGATGGCTTGGAAAGTTATGTTCTTTCTTTCTCTAGTTTCTTTTTTTTTTCCTCATTCTAATCTTGGAAGAGGCAGCTGAGGCATGCCAAGCAAATGAGGACAGTGAGGGCAGCTGTGGGTATAGTTTTGTAAACAAATGAACTAATGCTGCAGAAAGTGGCCATAGGTGGTAGTTGCAAGAAATAGATAAGAGCTCTTCTGCCTTTCTGCCAGTGACTGGCTGGGAGACTCTGGTTGTTCTGGGAGGCTGGAAGGACAGCCTGTCACTTGCTTGTATCTCTAGCAGTGAAGAACTACTGAACTGCCTTCTGAGTAAGGACAAGGGCAGGACTTTATTATCATTAAACTGCTTGCTGGAATCGTAAAGACACTGTTATCAGCTGGGACAGCATTTTTATGCTCTGATTAGCAGCCATCAAGAGAGAGTTATCATCACCACTTTTCTAAGAAGCTGAGAAAACAGTGTATGAAAACTTTTTTTTATTTGGCAAGAACAAAAGCAATAGTAATTATTCCTATTTATATATTCCTTTAAGATTTTCCAAAGTGCTTTAATACATTTGATCTTCACATTTGATCCTCACAATGACCACATGAAGTAAATACTACAAGGTTTTCTGATGCCATTTTACAGATGAGGAAACTGAAGTTGAGGGAAATATGACTTGCCCAGAGTAGCTGGGAAGTGTAGGAGGTAGAATTGCTGCCCAAATCTTTCTAACTTTAAGTCCAATCCTCTAGCCTCAATGCCAGAGAAGATCCTAAAGAATAAATTTGCTAACAGTAATGTCAGCTTTAACTAACTTTAATAACATAAACATGCCAGTTAGCTATTTGTTGTTGTTCAGTCATGTCCAATTCTTCATGACCTCATGGACCACAGCATGCCAATGAGATTTTATTAGCAAATATACTGGAATGGTTGGCCACTTCCTTCTTCTGTGGATTAAGGCAAACAGAGATTAAGTGACTTGCCCAATGTCACACACCTAGTAAGTGTCTGAGACCACACTGGAACTCGGGTCTTCCTGACTCCAGGCCCAGTGCTCTATCTACCGAGCCACCTAACTGCCTGGTTAGCTGTAACAGGTATTAAATTCCCAGATAACAACACCCAGCTTTCTTCCAATAGATCCCAAGGAGCTCTTGTTAACAATGAGCTCTGGAGAGAACTGGCAGAATCTGGGATGCAGTCAAGAAAACACAGAAGTTGGGAAAATTTGTCTTAGATTCTTTAACCTAAATGCATTAAAAGGAAGAAGAAAAAGAGCTTAGACTGTGTTTGATGGGCCTGCTCTTTCTTTCTTTCTTTCTTTCTTTCTTTCTTTCTTTCTTTCTTTCTTTCTTTCTTTCTTTCTTTCTTTCTTTCTTTCTTTCTTCCATCTGCCCAGGGGGTATATTGGCTGGATAGTAAAATATATGAACTCAGCATTCTTGACTCCTGAGCCTAGGCTCACCATGATTGAGTGATTGACTATTTGTAAGGCTGTGAGCCAAACATTACCTTTCTTTCCACACATGCTACACCCCCCCCCCCAATTCAGTGTAAGGCAGAGGTCCTAAATGAAGCATTATGTAGGAGAATTTCAGCAACAAAAGACTCTTGTGACACCCAAACAAATTTGTCTGGGCATCAATAAGCCTCATGAAAGAGGTAATTGCAGCAGTGGAATTGTTTATCTAATTAATGTTCCAGAACTAACAAGGATACTCAGAAATCATACCGAGCCCATAGAAGCGGGTTTGCCCTCTCTAGGAACCACTCCATAACTCTCGAGAGCTGAACTCAAATTCTGAATTCATTTGATTTCTGTTTATGGATCTTTAGACTGCTGGGGATTTCCTGCATCTGATTGCGGTGGTCTAAAAGGCTAAACTCTGGGACCCACAAACCTTTGTGGTCATCCTCCGTTTAGACCCTCACTTGTGCCAGACAAAGAGCGCATCTGTCTTCGTCAACTCCTTTGTCACCTGATCCTCTGATTCTTTTCAGGATCTTTCTTTGGGCTCCCAACTTGAGCTGAAGAATGAAAAACCTGGTGGTGGACCCTTCAAATAAATTCAATAATTCCCTGGATGCTTTTGAGCAATGTGGCAAAGAAACACCCTTGGAAAATGTTCTTTTTGCCTCCTTCTATCTTCTGGATTTCATCCTGGCCTTTACTGGCAATACTCTTGCCCTCTGGCTCTTTATCCGGGACCAAAAGTCAGGCACCCCCGCCAACGTTTTTCTGATGCATCTTGCTGTGGCCGATTTGTCATTTGTGCTGGTGCTTCCCACCCGACTTGTGTATCACTTTTCTGGAAACCACTGGCCATTTGGGGAAATCCCATGCCGCCTTACCGGGTTCCTCTTCTACCTCAACATGTACGCCAGCATCTACTTCCTCACGTGCATCAGTGTTGACCGCTTCCTCGCCATAGTGCACCCCATCAAGTCCATCAAACTCCGCAGGCCTCTCTATGCCCACCTGGCCTGCGCCTTCCTCTGGGTGGTGGTAGCCGTGGCCATGGCCCCGCTGCTGGTCAGTGCTCAGACGGCGGAGGTGAACAGCACGACCGTGTGCCTACAGCTCTACCGGGAGAAGGCCTCACGGAATGCTCTGGTGTCCCTGGCCGTGGCATTTACCTTCCCCTTTGTCACCACCGTCACCTGCTACCTGCTGATCATTCGGAATTTGCGCAGCGGCCACCGGGTGGAGAAACACCTCAAGGACAAAGCCATTAAGATGATCATCATGGTGCTCATGATCTTCCTGGTGTGCTTCGTGCCGTACCACGTCAACCGATACATCTACGTCCTGCAGTACGATGGCACCCGGGCCTCTTGTGAGGCCCAGCGGGTCTTGGCCCTCAGCAACCGCATCACGTCCTGCCTCACTAGCCTCAATGGTGCCCTGGACCCTGTCATGTATTTTTTTGTGGCTGAGAAGTTTCGTGATGCTTTGTGTAACTTGCTTTGTGGCAAAAGGGCCATGACCCTACCACCAAGTTTTGAGGGAAAGACAAATGAGAGTTCCCTGAGTGCTAAATCTGAACTGTGAAAGAGACATCCAGACTTAAAACGCTGCCTCTCTGTGCTGATTACGTGTGCCTCAGTGGCAGACTGTCTTCCTGTGCAGAGACCTTCCATTGGAGCTCTCCATATGTCAAAATAGAAGAAATCTAGCTTCTTCCACACAAGCCAACCACCCACCTACTGAGAAAACAAGACTTAAATATTGGCAGACCACTCATATCCCACTTGGACACCTGAACAGCAGCTTCACCCGTTGCTCAGTTTCTAACAAGCTCTTACATTTCTGAAAAGCAAGGACTAACATGTAATCAAACCAAGACACCTTCCCCCTCAGAAGAAAAATTTTCAGCTATGCTTATTTACTGTTACTAGATACCCTAATGATCTCAGCCTAGATACAGGGAGGAGGGACACGAAAATTGGAGAACAATGAAAGTCTTTCTCTAAGCTCAATGCTGACCGCTAAGCTACTGACCTCCTATTATGTTAAGGCAAGAGTGGGGGAGGCTATTCTCCAAAGAATCCAAGAAAATGATCCGAAAATTGCTTGAGTGAAAGAGAGAGTTCCTTTAAATGTCTGCTTTGATGTCTGGGGGAATGAGGGTGGGGGGAAGGAGTGGTGGGGAGGGAGGGAAGAAATGCCGTAGTGTTCATATTATCAGATCCTTGATTATAGATATCACCAGCTTAGTTTAGTCAACACAGTGATGTGGACTATACTTGGTGGGTGATTACAACTGAACTCACAGAGACCAAGTCAGGCTGGTCCCTATGTGTAACCTAAACCAATGGGAAACAACTTCTATCTCTGTTCCAGAGACTTCCTGATCTAACTTTTTTTAAAAACTGCTTAAAATTCTTCTTTTTAACTTGTTCTGACAGTCTCTTTACAATTTCCCAACATGTGTCCTGTACCTCACATAAGGGCCTGCAGCTGGCCTGACCACCTTGCTTGAGACCTGAACAAGGGAGCAAAACCATGGCATGGAATGTGGATGCCTTCAATAGCATGCACCCTCACTTCCATTTGACTTCAAGGCCATGAAATCCATGGGTTCTATCAGCAAAACCAAGCGACCCTACCCAGCATGCTTCTTTCTAGCCCCTGGAGATCCCCAAGGGAACCCAAGGGAGTCTATGCACCCTCCACATTGTGTCCCACCTGTCAAATTCACCTCTATCTCCCCTTTGCCTTCCATTTGTACAGTGATCTTTCTTTTTTGGTATCTGTATATGCCGATTATAAATATGCATAGTTTTTTAAGTGTGAAGCTGTATCATGTTGTTTTAATAAAATTTCTCTCTTCCCTTTACTAGCTACCAGGAAATCTCCTTTGCCCTTCTTCTACCCCTTCAAGCAATGGACTTCATGGGGATCCTTACTCCTCATCTCAGTTTCCTTGTTAATAGTTTTAGTCACCATGGTTTCCCACTCCAAAGTATCACATTTTCCTAGGGTTGCCTTCTTGTGCCTAACCCTTAAGCCAGTACTCCCATTCCCTTTTCCTTCCCATCACACTAATACCTCACTTTCCTTCACATACTCTTCCAACCAGTTACAATGGCCTCCTGGCTATTCCACAAACAGGACACTCCAACTCAGCTCCAGGCATTTTCTCTGGCTGCTCCCATGCCTGGAATGCTTTTCCTCCTCTGCTCCAGACTTCTCTAGTTTCCTTTAAATCCCAATTAAAATCCCATTTTTTTTTCAGGAAGTCTTTCTCAACCTCTCAATCCCACGCCTATGTTAATTATTTTCTTTTTATCCTGTACATAGCTTGCTTTGTATATATTTGTTTGCACGTAGTCTCTCGCGTTAGACTGTAAGCTCCTTGAGGGCAGGGACTGTTTTTTTGCCCCTTTTTGTATCCCCAGTGCTTAGTACCATGCCTGGCACACAGAAGCCATTTAATAAATGTTTACTGATTGACTAGAATTCATATAGCTCTTCCTACTTTTCAGGCAGCTACGTGGCATGGTGGATGGAGTGCCTCAGATACCTACTGACTGTGTCTCCCTGGGCAAGTAAATTAACCTTCTCTGCCTCAGTTTCCTCATCTGTAAAATGAAGAAGATAATAGCACCTACCTCACAGGGTTGCTGTGAGAATAAAATGTTATAATACACATAAAACACTTTGAAAACTTAAAACCCTATGTAAATGGGAGCTATTCAAAGAACTTTTATCTCAGTTCTCTTGTGCAGTTAGAGCAACATCCTTGAGTGATGGCTGGATTAGACGGGTGTTATTCCCATTGCGAGATGGAGAAACAGAGGCCCAGAGAGGTAAAGAGGCTTTACTCGAGGTTCCCCAGCTCAAGAGGGGACGAGCTGGGATGGATATCCAAGTCTCCCTATCCCCTAGTCCAGTCTTCTTTCTGCCGTCCCTGGTGCCTTCCACATCAGTAACGTCTTACTCTAGCTCACATCCCCTCTTCCAATCATGCTTTCGAACCCCCAATCCCCACTCTTTTGCAATTGCCCCAACAGGCCTCGGCTCCTCCTCACCTCCCGGCATTCTTCACAAAGCCCAGGTCAGCAAGAACCACATCACACAGTTCACAACGGAAGCACTCCGGGTGCCAGTTGTTGTTCATTGCTTTGATGACACGGCCAATAATGAATTCACCTAAAAAACAAAAAATCAGATTTGAGTAGGGGAAGAGATGGCATTCACTCCTACCTGCCAGGGAAGAAACAACTTCACTCGTCCTCTATTTTCTTATTGCTTTGCCAAGTTTGCGCCAATGCACTATTCCAGGAAATGAAAAATAACCTCCAATGGGGAAAATAAATCTACTTTCTAAAGCAAGTGCCAAGAAAACAGCTGTACTCTGTGTATGCGTGTGCCATCTCTAGGTTATGTTTTCTTCTTCTCTCGAAGCTGGCCCTTCGTGGTATTGTGAAGGTTGACTCTGGGCCCCATTACCTTCCCAAGCAGGATCTTCACAGCCGCACTCCTCCCCTCTTGGCTTCTTCCTGAACTGCAGAGAACTACCCTGTGTCACATTTCCTCAGAGATTTGTTCTCAGCTGATAATGGTTTAAGATAAGGCTAGTGGAGGCAGCTGAGTGGCTCAGTGGATAGAGTGCTGGGCCTGGAGTCAGGAAGAACTGAGTACAAATCCAGCCTCAGATATTTAGTACCTGTGTGACCCTGAGAAAATCACTTAACTTCTGTTTACCTTAATCCACTGAAGAAGAAACTGGCAAACCACTACAGCATCTTTGCCAAGAAAACCCCATGGACATTATCGGTATGAAATGGTCCATGGGGTCATGAAGAGTCAGATATGACCGAACAATAAAATGTTGCTAACAGACTCAGAAAAACGGTGTGGGGAGAAAAGAAGGTGTCTATTTTTTAAAGAGTAATTTTCCCATAGCTGAATTTCTGGTACCATAACAAACAATGGGGGTGACTCTTCAGGTTCCCTTCCCTTAAATCCCTCAAATGACACCTGCTCAAAGGCTAGCCCTCACTTTCCTCTAAAAGCAAACCCCTTCCCCCTTACTGTCCCACCCTCCCCCTGTTTCATAAAATAAACCTTTTGGAGTAAAGAAATGGCAGATTTGGCTTGAGTCTGGCCTTACCACATGTCCCACAGCAGGGAGCAAACAGCATTTGGAAGTCATGTTCACAATATTTTCGACCTTCGTACTGCAAACAAAACACAAAGAGAAGGGGTGAGAGGAATGCCAGGCTCCTGGGGTTACTTTATTTTCTGATTCATCTATTATAGATTACATTTCCATAGCACTTCACCTAAAGACCCCAGGTTCTGTACACAAGACTTAAAGAGGCAGCACTGAAGATCATTCAAATAAAAGGAGGAAACACAAGGAAAGAAACAGAAATGGGAGGAACAGAAGCAGGATAAAAGAAAGGAAGAGGGGAAAGTTAATAATGGTAATTTCAGCCCTTTAACAAATAGAAGGCAATCTGTGGCAAATATTAGAGTCAATGTTCTATGTAACAAACAAACAAATAATGATTATTAAGCACTTAACACTATACTAGGCCCTGGGAGAGATAGAGAGTTAGGAGAAGATGTAGTCCCTGTCATCAGGCAGTTTATGGTCTAGTAGGGAAATAAAATATAAAGGCAGAAGACCAATATTTAATATCACATAAATACATTACAGAGGTGTGAATCAAAATGCCAGGTGAGGTCTAAGAAGGAAAGTACCTGGGAGCAAGGGAGAGAAAGGAAAGCTTCATGGTGCAGGTAGTATCTCAGTTTGATTTACAGGATGAGTAGAGATTGAAGGGGCCCATAGGTGGCACAGTGGTAGAGAGCTGGGCCTGAAGTCAGGAAGACTCATTTTCCTGAGTTCAAATCTAGCCTCAGACGCTCACTAGCTGTGTGACTCTGAGCAAGTCCCTTAATGCTGTTTGCCTCGGTTTCTCAACTGTAAAATGAGCTGGAGAAGGAAATGGCAAACTGCTCCAGTATCTTTGCCAAGAAACCCCCAAATGGCGTCATGAAGTGTTGGACACAACTGAACCAACTGAACACCAAAAAAGAATTAAGTGATAAATATGGCGGTGGGGTGAGAGGCCAGACATTACAGCCATGGCAGTAAGTGGAAGGAAAGTCCAGGATTTGGGGTTACAGAGAGTTGTCCAGTTTATCTGGGGCATAAGGTACATGGAGGTCAATAGAAGAGCCTAGAAAAGAAGAGTGGAAGCAGATGGTGGAAGGCTCTGAATGCTGTGCTCTGTGGCACTACTAATTGGGTAAAAAGCATAGTTCCAATTGAGTTTTAGACCTGGAAGAGACTTTAGCATCCCCCTTTGGTGATACCTCCCTACATTTAAAAATGCTCCTTTTTTTCCTGTTTCAGTTTCTTACAATTTAAAACAAATTATTTGTAAAATAAATATAAAGAACATGATTGGCTCAGCGACGTACACAAAGGTTTTAGGTGTTCACTTTACCCTCCACACAATACTCTTCTGTCTCAGAACCCTCAGCTGCTTGGCTTTTCTATGACAGCAAAAACAAAACACCACTGATTGCCAAAGGAAGGAGTCTTAGATGTTCTAGGAGTGAGGACTTCAAGGTAAGGCTGTCCAGAGAAGAAAAGCAGGGCAGACCAAGCAGCCAGAGAGGAAAAGGGGGGAGAGACTAAGAATAAACCAGCATGGGGCAGCTGAAGGGTTAGAAGGGCAGCAGTCCACATCCCAGGGGGACCATGCAGGATAAAGCCCCAGCAGCAGGCCAGGGCACCACAGCAAACATCCTCACCTCATAGAAGAGTCCATCTGGGAACTGCCGGAAGCACTGGGCACAGACGAAACAATTCTCATGATACAGCTCCCCGTTGCTATTCACAATCCTTTCAGATGGATCAAAACGGGCCTGACAGCGCTGGCATGTGGCATTAGCCAGGGCATCAGACATGTTACTGAATAAACGGGGGGGAAAAAATCAGAGTCAGGTTCTGGATGGCATCCAAAAATGATAACGTGCTAGGAGCAGGAGGAGCAAAGTTTAGAGCAACAACTCTCTCATTCTTTCTGGCAAGAACTTTTTTTCTGTAATCCAGGACTGGACCTCGGGCCAGGGAGAGAAAATGTCCCTAGTCCCAGAGTTTCTCTGTGCTTTATCACTTGGTTGAGACCATAGACACCTGGAACTTCATATAACAGCATTTGTGGCCCTATAATTTTACAATTCAGATATGCCAGTCCCAATCAGGTACAGAGCCAGAAACTGAGGCAGGAGTCTAGACTGTCTTCTAAAGAAAACTCTCAGCAGGGGGCAGCTAGATGGCACAGTGGATAGAACACCAACCCTGGAGTCAGGAGGACCTGAGTTAAAATCCAGCCTCAGGCACATAATACTCACTAGCTGTGTGACCCTAGGCAAGTCACTTAACCCCAATTGCCTGGACAAAAAAACAAAAACAAAAACAAACAAACAAAAAACTCTTAGCAGAGAGGACAGAACATGGGACTTGGAGTCAGGAATACCTGAGTTCGAGGCCTACCTCTGACACTCATTAGCTGTGTGACCCTGTGCTCTTTGCCTCAGTTTCCTCATCTATAAAATAGGGATATTAATAGCACCTATCTCACAGAGCTGTTGTGAGAATCAAATAAGATGACACATGTAAATCACTTTGCAAACCTTAAAGTGTTATGTTATTGTTAGCTAGTATTGTTTGTTGTTGTTTTTGGCTAGGCAATGGGGGTAAGTGACTTGCTTAGGATCACGCAGCTAGTGTCAAGTGTCTGAAGTCAAATTTGAACTCAGGTCCTCCTGACTCCAAGGCCGGAGCTCTATCCACACTGCACCACCTAGCTGCCCCAGCTATTATTGTTAATAATTTAAAATTAATATAGGAATTCCACACCAGATCAGCCCCTAAATCCTTCCAGTCCAGAATTTTGTCTCTGACAATGTCATCATTCATTCAACAAGCGTTTATTGAGCACCTGCTGTATGCCAGATACTCTTGTAGGTTATTGGAGATACAAAGAGAAAAACAAAACAGTCCCTGTCATTCTGTTCATTCTAGTCTATTGAGAAGGAACATGTATACCAGTAAGTAAATACAAAATGTAGACAAAGGAAAGAGTAAATAATTTCAGTGGAAGGATAAAGACAAGCCTGGTGAAGGAGGTACTTTAGCTGAGCTCTAGAAAAAGCTAAGGACTCTAAAGGGTGGAGATGAAGAGAAAGTGGGTTCCAGACATGGGACCAGCCTGGACCAAGTCACGGAAAGGAGATGGAATGTCCCCAAGGGGGCAGCTTGGGAAGGCTGTGGTTTGTCCACACTTAAAAGGCTAGCAATATGGCCCCACATAACCCTTTTCTCCTTTATAATCTATCCTCCGGGCTACCATGGTTCTTCTTGAACATATTTGTATTTTCAGTCTGTGTCCCCTCTTGGGTTGAATGTACTTTCATCAATACCTTCCACCTCATCCCTCTCCTTCTCTCCCCACCCCCACAAAAGAAAAAAAAAGTGATGAATGTGATTGCATTTTAAAAATAACATCCCTTTCTTCTCTCAGTAGCTGTCAAATGGAAGAACAAGTGACTGATAGAGAAGAAAAGTTGTGTTGAGGGTAACCACCAGTTTAGCAATGAGCAAGATATACCCAGGGTTTGGTTTTGGTTTTTGTTTTTTCTTTTTCATGTAACTCAGGGAAATCAGAAATAAACAGGAAATCTTGTAACTCTGAAATCTGAATTGCCTGATTCAATAACCACTGGAGCTGATGACATAATATAATTCCCAGAGCCCAGATACAGGCTTTCAGATTTCTGGTTAAAGCACACCATCCTCTGGCCAAGTGCCCAGGCCTTATTGTTATTGCTTTTCCTACCTCCCCATGTCTATATCTTTCTCCATCCTTCAAGGCCTAGCTCAAATCCCTCCACATTCATGAAATGGTCTCCAACCACATTAGCCTACTGGGATTTCTCTTTTCTCAGAACTCCTATGACATTTAAAGTCTTTAACACACAACTTGGAGGCAGCCATGGTTGCCCGGGGTGGAGAACTGCTGTCAGAGTCAAGAAGAGCTGGATTCAAATTCTTCCTCTAATATAGACTGGGCAAGTCAAGTGACCCTGGACAAGTCAGTTGGCCTCTCAGTGCCCTAGGGCAGAGGGGTCAAATTCCTAGCTGCAAGTGAGCAGCAACTCCCCAGTGTGAGGGAACCAGATTTAAAATGTCTTTGGGAAATGTTTAACAGAATAAATAAAAATAACATAACATAGATAATGTTAATTTGTGGTTTTCTAACTCAACATGCATCCCCACCGAATTCATTTCTATTGACACCACTGCTCTAGGCAACTCTCTAAGACTATCATTTGCTGAGAAAATGAACCAAAGATCTTAGCATTTTAAGGCAATAAATTATACTCTGACACCTTAAAAGTCACAAGTTCAGAAACTTTCCTTAAGTAACAAGTTTAGCACTGAAATGCTGTGCTAATTTGGTGTCCTTCAGTTGGGTTATAGGCACCTTAAGGTCCAAATATTATGTCTTTTATTTCATTGCATATCGGAAAGCCACTTGAACAGAGCCATTCCATAATGGGTACATGATGAATACTTGTTAATTGACTGACTCCTATCTACTTCTGCTCTCACCCTAACCCTATAACTAGGGCTTAGTTATGACCTATTATTTATGTTATATGAACAACGAGTCTTCCAGCTGTTGTTTCACCCTTCTTTCATACTGCTTCCAAAAAGTCTTCCTAAGATAGGATTCCACTATCACTCAGCTTCTCAAATGCCTCTATGTCTCTGTATTACCTATGGGAAAAAATGTAAACTCCCCAATCTAGCATTTAAGGATGTGCATAAATTGTTCTACTCTATCTCTCCAACCTTAATTGACTTTAATTTTCTATGCACATTCTTCATTTCAGTGAAACTCAATTTATTAACTCTTTTCTAAACTGGAAGAATGGGCAGTTAGATGATACGGTGGATAGAGCCCTGGGCTTGGAATGAGAAATACTCATCTTTATGAGTTCAAATCTGGTCTCAGATACTTATTAGTTGCATGACCCTGGGCAAGACACAAAATGAGCTGGAGAAGGAAATGGCAGACCACTACAGTATCTCTGCCAAGAAAACTCCAAATGAGGTCACAGAGAGTCTGACACAACTGAAAAATGACTTAACAGCAACATTATCTATGTTACAGTGACCCCACATTGGTAGGGAGTGCATTATGTGGAGTACTCATATTCCAAATGGTACGGGAGGTAAAGCAGAATTGTGTCATACAAAGAAAGTATGAGATCAGGGCTTTCCTCTAAAAGGCCCTTCCCTTCCAGTTTCATATAATTCTAATACAAAATTTAATGATACAACTGAAATTTTAAAATGAACAACTACCAGGGAGTTAGAGGCCCCTCAGGCTCAAACATGCTTCAATTGAACACAACATGAATAAAGTTATTCATTCATCATGGCCCACCTCCCATGACACTGGACCTTCTATGTGTTATCACCAAAGTATGTGGAAAGGGGCCTGGGAGGATTTTGAATCAGGAGAAACATGTCAGAAAGATAAGGGGTTCGTCAAAGCACAAGGCACTCACAGAGAGAACTGTAGTCTGGGGATCCCAAAGTGCTCCTTTCCAGCTTGGCTTCACAGTAGCCAACAGCAGTCACGGGAAGGGAACAAGGGTGGAAGAAATGAAAATTTCAACCCCTCCCCCCTCCTTCACACATTCCAGTAGGGAACAGAGAATACAATGTCGGTCTGATTATCCCCCAAGGAGAAAAATGCCACTCCTCTTTCTCTGCCCCCATTCAAAAGTGGACAACAGGCAAGATACAGCCAAGGGTATGTCTGAGACACAGGCAAGTCAAACCACCAAGATGTGGGAAGAACACAATACTATGACACTCTCCCCTGCCTCAACTCTCTAAAATGCCACTGGTGTCTGCAGCCAACATTGTCAATTAAGTTTCACAGTGCTACTGACATTTACACTATGTGTGTGTGTGTGTGTGTGTGTGTGTGTGCTTGCGCGTGTGTGTGCACGCACAAGCCCATAAGGGTTCTTTAACCCCTGCTTGCATCAAACAAGCAGGGAAATAAAATAAGCTTGCAACCCAAGTTCTCCTGCCATATCCACTTGTCCCAGAACAATAAAGCTATGGGGAGTGAGGGAAGGAGGAGGGCTAGGAGTTAATTATGTCTGTGGCTCAATCAATCAACAAGCATTTATTAAGTTCCTACTGTGTAAAGGGCACTGCGCTAATAGCCAGGGTTTCAAAGACAAATGTCAAACAGAGCCTGTACTCAAAGAGCTTGCACACTAATGGATTGTGATAGTTTACTATCCTACTGAAGAGTGTGAGATTATGTGTTTCTGAGAGGCTATCAGAGACACTGGAGTATTTCTGTCTGTGACATGAGGCAGAATTGTTCCAACTACAAATTAGGTAATTAGATTGGGGCACATCAGCAAAGGTCCTTCTGTATGTTTCCATGATCAGCAGAAACAGCCCCTGGGCCAAACAGAAGAGGTTATGGTCAGAACTGTTCTCTCATGTTTCTGCAGCTTTTCATGTAGAAAGAGCCTCCATATGTGACTCAATCTGCATTCTAAAGCCAAATATGAATATTTTTGTAAGGATATGGGGAGGGAGGACAGGAGGATCCACAATCACACCAATTAACACAATCACAGAAAGCCCAAATACTTCAAATGAATCAATCAGCTTAGTACCTATTCTTAAGAAATTTTCCTAAAAATATATTAATAAATACTTAACCAATTAGAGCAGATTATAATCTCTGTCTCCTCCCTTTCCCATCCTTCTCCCCCCACCCCACCCCCATTGACTATGCTATAGGAGAGACTGGACTAGCAGCAGACAGGGCATCCTGCTGGGATGAGACAACTGGACCAGGAGGA